AATTGAATTGAATTGAATTGAAGGTGAGAATACATTATATTAGCCCTGAAAAAAGGGGGGAAAAAACAGTAATGCAATGAGAGATGCCTTAGGGAGCTCCAAGCTTGCCATATGAAGTCCAATAAGACTTAAATAATGTTTATTTTTTTCTTCTTTGATATCAAGCTTATAATGTATCTGCAGAGAAATGCATAGTTTGGTCACAGCTCCATGTCTTTGCAAACCAAAGGCTTCATCTGTTGAACTGAAAGAAATAATGCATTTCATAAAGCAAAAACAAACATGGCAACACATGGCAAATGACACCCCAAAGCGAACACTGAAGAATACAGAAATCACTCAAACCGCTTAGCTGTAATTTTACATTGTAATTGTTTTGCCTGCATCCTGCCTCTTCCCTCATTACAGTCACGCAGTTAGGCAAACTAATTTGTATAATGGACAGTCATTTATTACTCAATACGCCATTCTTTTAACCATTGTTTTAAAAAAGTAAATGTCCTTTGTAGCTGCAAAAGTATCTAATGACTACAAAAAATACTTTAGCACAGATGTACAATTAAAAAAAAGTTTGATAAAGTAGCTGTAATAATTAAAACCAGACGCAGCGGGACACTCACCACACTGCGAGTGAACTTCTCCAGGGAGGTGCGTCGGCCCTGCTCCGTTTCAGGCTAGAGTCGAGCAAAAAGTAAAGAGTCTGAGAGTTCAACTCTTTTGAAGCCAAAATTGCATCTTTCACATTAAGAGTCAGTTCGCAAAAATTGTACAAGATTGCAGGCATATTTTTAAACATTACTGATATTACAGTAATTGCTGGAAAATACTATGCCGTATTCCACTTTCTTTTCTAAAAAGGGCTGTTAGCGGTCGTCTCAGCAATTTAGCTGACTGAATGCGGTGCACCCCTCATGCCTCATAGCTGGCCCTGCTAGAAGCAGGTTGCCCATCAATCCAGTGTCAAATATGTCAAAATGCCCTTTGACATATTCACAAATTATACTGTATCTCAATGTGTGTTACAGTGCTGTGTGTGCACTTTGAGCAGTCATTAAGTCATAAAGACTGGTCCACTTATCTCTACCAAGTAAAGTCGGGGAGCCTGCCTTAGTCTCGGCTTCACTGATGCAGCTTCTGTATGTCCACAGAGAGTAATTCATAAATAGATGACAGAGTCACTTACTTTCTTCCTCGCCATCAGAAGGTCCTGGTACAGGTTGGAGCGTAGGAAACGTGAATAGCTGTCACTTTTCATCAGCTTGTAGATGTGGTCCTTAGAGGTCAGAAAGATGGGATACACGGCAAGTAAGAAGGAGAAGTTTGCGTTGGAAGGATGGTGGTGCAATTCTTCTATGTTTATATATAACTATGTGTCGATGATGTACAAAACTTGCCAACTCAAGCAGAGTAAACTGAACAAGACCCTCTCAGTGGGAGAGGATGATTGAGGCACACTGCCAGGTAACTGACAGGAGAAATCTTTTCTTTGTTTAACTCGTCCCATTTAAGCCTGTGAAACGAGACGAAATTTAATAGATGCTACGCAGTGCCCAATACTCCCATCCTCCTCCTCCTCCTCCCGCCCCCCCCAAATGCCCATCTATCTCCCAATGAGACGTATTCTCTGGAAATCACTCCACAATATAAACCCATTAGTTGATACTGGTGAAGCATGTAAGAAAGACAAATGGAGCAGACAATAGTGTGGGACAGAGCTTCTGAAAGAAGCACAGAAAACCCACAGAGATATAACCAACTTAAGTTGGAATGTATAATAGAGCCTTGTGGTAATACTCTTGACCTCAAACAGGCCGATTTGGAGTCAGTCACATAACTGGGGAATCCTGATGCACAGGAAATGACTGAAGCTTATCCCAGCTGTCATAGTATAGGTAAACAGTCTATTGCAGGTCTAACACAGAGACAGACAACCAGTCACACAATTAGGTCATTTAGAATTAAACTTCAGAAGCATGGCGGTGCATTAGTTAGCATTGTTGTTTCCAAGCAAAAAGGTCCTGGGTTCAAATCTACTGACTGGCTGGGGCCTTGCTATGTAAGTTTGCCTGTCTGCTTTACTTTTTCAAAAGTCACTCCAAAGGATATGAGGTGTGTATTTGCAGTGTAAATGTGTTGCAATCACTGATCAAAAGTAGGGACATTTTTCTCAGTAGTGAGAGAACAGAATGAGGCAAACTGAAATAAATGAAATTTGCTAAATGACTCCTTTTCTAGTATTCACTTAGTATTGTAGTTCACCTTTTATTATTTATGAGTACCACTAGATCTCAGTTCAGCCAGACAAATTTCAGCTGGCATTTGCCAAAAAGTTGCATAAATCTGGACAGGATTTTAAGAACAGGTTCTTTTTTTTCCCCAGTCATATAATTTCTATATGTAGGTTTAAAGAGGTTGATATATTGTTACATCAGCTCCACTTTAAAACCCTGTGAAGTCCGACTGGTTTTATAATTTTCAAGTTCAAATAATTTTACTTCAGCTCAAATGCACTACATGCTTCTCTGCTTCTCACCTGTGCATCTTCGTAGCTGTATCGTCCAGGGTCTTTCAGGTTTTGGCTGGTGCGCTCGTAACTGTGGGAGTCCAGGTTAATAGAGCTGGGTGCTCCCTCTGCCAGGAACTCTGCCCAGATGTCCTGTGCCCTCTGTGCAACTTCGTGCTGAGGTATCCTCTTTAACTCCTGTACAGCCAGCCAGAACCTGCAACAGCACAAATAGAAACACACATCACCTTTAAATCTGCATGCTATTCATGTAACTGATGATAACTTATCTTTAGATAGATTAGCGAATTTAGGACAGTGAAAGCTTTCTGTATGATTAAGGCGGTAAAATTAAAAGTGAAAAATTCCTGCAAAGCAAACATAGTTTTCTCAAAACATGTCAGTATCCAGAACATTGTCTTACATGTATTTGATTTCTTTCTTTCTAAAATGCTCTTAAAACTTTCTCCTCCTTTCCTCGACGACACATGAGAATAATTTTCTTTTAAATATTGACACAGAGAAAAAACGTAAACTGCGTTAAATACCAGGGGCAGCAGAAAAGCAGACTGCCTCCAATATTAGTTTCTATCTATATTGATCTGTTGACTGGTTTAGCAATATAGAGCGAAGCACCTCTGGGGTGTGCTTTGCTCACTCACTCTCTATTTCTCAATAACTGACACTCTCTCTTTCTGTGCCACTCCTCCAAAAGCTCCCTCATAAAACCAAAAGCAATTAAGGGTCCAGAAGAAGAGAACAACAGATGGAGGTGAGGAGACTGGTGGCGTAGCTGAAGTGTGAACAGCGATGTGAGTGTATGCCCTCCCGCTCTGCATCTCACCCTGCTTATGTGTGTGTGTGTGTGTTTTTTCTCTGTAGTGCATCTCCCCCTGGCTCAGAGGTATCAACAACCTCCATACTATCAGTTCATCCCCAGACTCTCATTCCTAACACGGTTCTGTCTCTCTCACTAGGTTTCAGAGATGCCTCATCTCCCTCTCCCACCCACACACTATAAAACACCCACTTATTGCTGCATAGGTGCATAAGGGACTAAATATGACAGTGCCTCGTGTGTAAATTTGTATTTAATGTGAGCTGTAAACCATTACAAGAACAAGTCAAAGAAATCAAAAACATTCATGGACCTAAAAATTAGACAGATTGAGGAAAAGTTGCCACGAGCCTAAAAACACGAGATTCAAAATGTTTTGTGACGTGTGCTAGCACTTTCTCTTAGTATGCTTACTGCCGGTGCTCTACAACTCTGTTTTTGATGTGCAGACAGAAGTAAAGTAGTTCTGTGAAATCTTATTTCCCTTTGAAGCTTTCCTTTAAGGCACGACACCTTAAATTATGTCTTAAATGCATAGGAGGAGTGTGGTTGTCTGTTTAAAGAGGCCCTGTGGTAGGGCGCGTTGTGTACTCTGCACCTCACCAGCAGAGCCAGCTGGGATAGGCTCTACTGCTGCTATGACTTTCAATTGAATAAGCAGTTAAGAAAATTGATGTGTACCTCATTAGCTCAGTCTTGCTATTTTTATCCCAGGTTTTCCAGCAGAGCTGCATATTTTTCTTCTCTTCGATACAACATTGTTGTTTTTGGTGATGAGACCTTTCAAAAAACTGTTTTTATCTTAGATTTATCCAACAGAGTAAACAAAACACTAGAAAAGATACATCTGCATAATGTTGTAGCTCAGTATTGCTCCTTTCTAATACTCTTTTCTTTTCCTGAAATTTCGATGAGCAGAATTTTAGTGTGGTTTGTGCGCTTCTCTTTAAGTGTTCTAGGTATCTAAAAACTGGCAAACCTTCACTTGATTGCTCTTCCATGTTCCAAGTGGGTTGAAATGGTAGGTTGGAACAATGAGGTTGCCAAGAAGAAATAATTTCTGCCTATTTTCATGGAAGTGAAAGCTTTTGATCGACTCTTATACTCTCCTCACGTTGTTAAAGGGGAGCTGCACAAATGCCCTACTGAATGTCTTAAATTTTATCCTATGAAGCACAGAGGATTTGTTATAATGCAGAATAAGCTGTCTTTAAAAATTCACCACAAAATCTGTGCTTGTGCACTGCTAACCTTTCTTCATTAATTGAGTTAAGTACAGCATGGTTAAAAGAGCAGGAAAAATATCACTTCAACATACAACAGTGGAAATGATGACTGAAATATATGTTGCTCACCTGAGATTCTCTGAGCTAAACTCTGATTCTAGAAACTTGAGGAAAAGCTCCTGCCCTGCTGGATCTTTCAACGCGTCCTCCAGAGAGAAGCCCCACTTCTTCACCCTTTGCTGACTGGGCTCCTTACTGGGAAAGATGGAGAGAGGGATTGGCAGTTTATTGTTTATATATATATATATATATATATAAATAAAACAGCCCCTCTATAAAAATATCTGTGGTTCCAAAATGATCATTGCAATATATTTCTCTACCCCTCAAATTAACCTGAAAAATCTGTAGTATTCATAAAACTTTACTTTCAATATGTTTTTGACAATAGTTACAATGTCCTTAAAAAAATAAAGAATGAAACTAGTGTCTGAGACTTCATTACAGCTGGAAAGTGTGGACAGATCTAAAAAGTGAAAACAGAGGAAAGATGAAGATAGAGATGAGACATTAAAACTGCAAAATCCTCCTGATCTTTGGGACTCGCGAAAGGGTCTGATGTGGATGTGATACTGGTTTATGAAAAGCACATTATGACAGTGCTCATCTGAAATCCAATCATTACAATCTCTGCAGGGAATATGTTCTCTTATCCTGCAATTAATCAATTCAGATGAATTATTAAGCTACATTAGGCACAGTGATTATGTGTCTGATCTAATGAATTCCTGCGTATTCAGGAGTTCCAAGCATAGTGCACCTTGTTGAGAGCACTACTTTTCTGTATATGTTTAATAATTTGGTAGCTAGGCAGTTCATTTGTTTGATCGGTCTTATATGTTCTTTCTTTGATTTGGGCTGAGTGATCTGTAAATGTCCGTCACTAGTTCAAAAGTTCTCTGCCAAAGCAATTAGTGCTCGATCAGTACTCAGTCAGTCACACTTTGGCTTTACAAGAAAAAAATCATAAATGTATAGCAGCTACACACCTCTGGAGTGTGAGTCGCAAGTTTGATTCCCACCTGGGGCGTTTGTATCCAGTAAGGGTCCTAGGCTTGACCCTCCATGCTATATGAAGTCATGCCGATACCCAACATCCACATTGACAGCGAACAACTAGTAGCTCAGTGTTCCAACATTTAGAAGAAGGGACTGTTCTCAAAGCTAGAGACTGACGAGGTACAACACACATGCTACGGCAAGGGGAGCCAGGACAACAGGTCAGGGGGCACTTGGTACCCCTCTCCTTGAGTGCAAGAGTCCTGAAAGATAGGATCATGGTGAAGCTTGACTTGACTACGTGCTAAGATGGATCAATACATGAGGAGGACCACTACTGTTCTGCATATGTCTGAACCCGCTATGGATACGGAATTGAGTTGTCAGTTATCCTCCTGTGGATTTCATCAAGCTGTATGCCAAGAACGGGACATCGACTCACTGATCCACACCAGCAGCAATGGCATCGGAATGTCATTCGGGCTAGAGATGAAGGTGGTCAGAACTGAGGGGATTGAACTACCAGACGGCAACATTGCAGATGTAGAGGATCCCGCAGGCAAATGGTGCCTAGTGGCCTATTCATGGTTCCCAAGTACCTGTAGAGGGTCAATCAATGCCTACTAATAAGCTGGCCAAAGGAGGAGATAGAAGCCACTGACATCAAGACAAGGAAGCTCCAAGCAAGGAGGGTTTCAAGGCTTTCCAAGTCCAGCACCCTGAGGCTGTACGCTAAGCGGAAGGAATGAGACAAGGGACTGGTGAGTGTCAGCACCACAGTCCAGGATGAGACAAAATACATCAGGAAGATGGCCCCAACCAACTGTGTGAAGATTGAATACCTCAGGCAGAAGAAAGCTGAGGAAGAGGAGGAACATCATGGAATCCAATTAATAGCTCGACAAAGCTGGACTGAAAGACAGCAATAATCAGGCACTAATCATGACACCACAGGAGCAAGCTCTGAGCACATAGAGGCTGGGGTCTACCACACCAGGCAAGACCCCATGTGCAGGCTGTGTAAATGGCATAGTATACAGAAACATCTGTGCCGAGTATGGCGTGGAAGTCCCCAGGTCAAAATGGGAGACGCCCCCTAGCGTGGTGGAGAATGACCAAGCTAAGATCCTGTGGGACTTCTAGATACAGCCGGACAAAATGGTGGTGGCTAACCAACCAGATATAGTGGTGGTAGACAAGCGGAAGAAGACGGCCGTAATGATAAATGTAGTGATAACGAATGACAGCAACAACAGGAAGAAGGAACACGAGAAGCTTGAGAAGATGTGGAGAGTGAAGGTAACAGTGGTCCCAGGGGTAATCGGAGCACTAGGTGCGGTGACTCCCAAACTAGGCGAGTGGCTCCAGCAGATCTCAGGAACAACATCAGAGAACTCTGTCCTAGAAGAGCACAGTCCTAGGAACAGCTAAGTTACTGCACCTTCAAGCTCCCTGGCCTCTGGTAGAGGATCCGAGCTTGAAGGATAGACCGCCCGCAGGGGTGAGAGGGGAATTTTAAAATGTTACTGAAGTTGCCCCCTGATGCATGCAACAAAGTGTGTTTGAATGTTGGGAAAAAGCACTTGTATTTATGTGTATGTGAATGAGGCTTGTTACAGCAGTAAGATGATGCTTTGAGTTTTCAAAGACCATTAAGCATTTAAGTTAGGAGAATTGTGCAGTGAAATTTCTGATTATCCAGATCGTTTAAATTTTTGAGTTGCGAATCAGGGTTAAAAATAAGCTGATAAGTAGCAAAAAGAAATACTTTGGAATGAAAGTCGATCATCAACAATCATTTCTTCAACGACTTTGTCAGGACTTGCCTGCTGTCAGCAACTATATGATCAAGGGCAGCACATGGAGTATGTTCACACTTGAATTTGCCTTTTGTGAAATTGGTTTCGCTCTGTTTGATATTTACTTCCAAAGTGGGGTGCGGTGTGAGCTTTCACACTGCACACACCTGAGATTGTTTAAAAAAGCGTTGAATAGCTGTCCTTGAAAAGAATTCCCTTCCCCTATGGGCTCAATGTGAAATTGGTTTTGAGATTTACACACCAAAAGGCAAAAAGGAAGGTTATAGGTTACTTAGCCCAGCAACAGAAAAAGTTGTTTGGAAATTATTTTAAAATAATCAGTGCAAACAGTTTCCTCTAAAAATACCATGATTATGAAAACAACAACAACAAAGCAGCACGCAGAGACATATCTTGAAATATCCACTGACAGTGATCGTACCTAGCCTCCAAATCCCAGAAAGTGGGGTCATCGCTGGTCCAGGGGTTGGATGGTTCAGGTGATGTCACAAATGGGTCATACTCCAAGTACTGCTCAGTGTAGGCTATCAGACTGACACACAACAGCAACAACACACATGGACACACATGACAAAGAAAAGGAGGCATTAGCTTGTCAAATGTTTAGAGACAGCAGTGACATGCTGATGATTTGAGGTAAAAGTTAATAGTGAAACGCATGTTTTCCTGCAGTAAAATTAAAAAACTGATGTCTTGAGTAGTCTGAGACAAACGGTAAGTGAGAGACAGAGTGAAGCAGAATGTCCTTCACAACAACAGCAACACTGTGCAGAAAATATTTTCCTTCTCACAGATTAAACAATAATGCAAGAATCCCCAAAAAACATACAAATGTATGTACTACAACTTCGCTGCACTGCCAACGGATGACCTCAAGCTGTACGAAGGCGAGGAAAAACACACCACTTCTTCTCTTTACAGCAGTAATATCCTTCTAACCCTGCGGTACAAAAGCTTCATTATATCTAGCTATGACTTTTTGATTTACATATTACAACACATGAAAATATGAGCTACATACATAAAAAGAAAAACAAAAATATAAAAATTACAAAAAACTGCAGAAACTCCATTTACTTATGTGTTTCCAGACCTTTTATTTTTGATGCTGATTCCAGAAAGTTTTAAATTGACTAACAAATAAATGCAATTCCAGATACCAGGATACCAGGATCCATAAAAATCATAGCCACCAGGCCAACAGAAGTTATAGAAGCTCAATACAATATACAGTACATTCTGTAACAGCAATGAGCAAGATAAGCAGGGTATCAGGACCACGGACAGAGACAGCATCGGCCCAGAGTTTGTTTGGATGTTCCTGTGCAGAGATCTCTGAATGAGCAACAATGTAGTAGAAACTTGATGTCCACCTGAGGATGACACCTACAAGAGCTGCCCAGCCATGAAAATCAAAGCTCCCCCGCACAGTTTAGTGCTGTTGTTAATGCCAGGGGAAGTTTAGAAGCAGAGCACTGGTGACTTTTACACACAAAATACCTCAGCACTTGGTGACCCTAATCTGTAATTAAACTCTTCCCTTTTGCAATAATACTACATAAAGTTGATTTTGAAAGGAATTTCTTGAACTGACTTGAAGCAACACTTGCATCCTTATTATAATGCTTGACTAAAATTAATTGAGTCACTCTGTGAGAGTGACCCATTCTTTTGCAAATGTTTGGAAGGATATTATAAGCTTTGGCAATGGGACTGAAAACAATAATGCTGTGTGTGGCCCAGTGCTTATGTCCACATAGTGTAGTTAAAGACTACAAAAACACAATGTTTTGTTCTTAATGTGTTAAAGGAAAAAGTATAGTCTTTATGGGGCTGGAATATTGTACAAAAATTATTTAAATATGAAAATTGTGCAGTTTCACATCACATCCCAAACATCCTCTCTAGAACCCTTGACCCTATTGTGTATTATTAGGTCAATATTTATTCAAATTTTGAAAATGTGACATCATATTGATAAATTCAAGAGAATGAAAGTAATGAAAATGCATGTTGAGCCCAAATGGTAAATGGCCTGTATTTGTATAGCGCTTTACTAGTCCCTAAGGACCCCAAAGCGCCTTACACAACCAGTCATCCACCCATTCACACACATTGTCTTTAGACCTGTATATCTAATAGTCACACTGAGCATGAAAATCCAGGGACAAAATACAGCCTTACTGAACCACTTCATACCCAAACAGCAAAAGCAGCACTCTGGACTCAAAGCTTTGTCACACTTACTGGTAGGCTTCACTTCTGAATGTCAAACTGAAACCTCCACAGGTTCAAATAAGGTGTCAAGAAACCTATTATCCCCTGTCTGCCACTCCTCTAGGAGAGTTACAGTAAAGGGTAGGCCAGTAGCACAGAGCTTTGTCTGATTATGGATGGTCAGAGAGTACAGGAGATGGGAACGGAGCACCTTAGTGACAAAGAGTGCCTCACAAGATTGACAAGATAGAGATTGGACATGATGCTGTGCTGCATTTTAAATGTGTATGTGTAAGTTTCCTGTACCTTTCAGCAACTTTGGACATCTTCATGCAGTGACGATCTAGCTGGGTATTCAGGAATACGATCTGAAAAAGACAATGAGCAATAAACTATACCAAAAAATCTTTTCATATAAAGGTTTTTGAATCTGATTGCATGATCTCAACTAGAGCTAGCAAATACCTGTAACAGAAATAAATGAAAAGGAGCTTGTTGAGTCAGCTGGCAGTGTCTATGTCAATCGGCAATACTGTTAGTGCTACCATTTCTCATAATTACTGTTTGTGCGAGAAAACAATCCAGCAGATTTGAAAAAATTTGACAAGGTGGGCACCGTACAAAATGCGTTACAATGTCTGCCAATCTTCTCTGTAATTGGCCTGCGGCTGTGAAATCCAGTGCTTGTGGCATTAAAAGCAGAAAGAGCACAAAACACTGACATCTTCTCTAATGATGGCTTATAATTTTGTCAACGTTTGAACGGATTTTTACCTCCTTTTCTACATCCTCCTTGGTGCCTTTCCTGCAGTGGTGTAAAGGAGTGTGTATGGGACTCTGAGACTGTGTTCCCTCCTCTATCACACCATACACCGACTGGGCCATTCAACCATGATGAAAGAGGAGAAGTGGGTAAGTATTAGAAGGTACGCTCATTTTCTTGCAGTGTGGGAAATTATATGTTATGTTGTTTAAAAAACGATGCAAAGGACATGAATTTTAACACAACTTACAAAAAATTTACAAAAAATGAATAAACTTGTTGCATGGGGTATATTTTAAAAAATCACTTTAGAAAGATTCCTGTCACAAAGTTGACAGCTAAGGTTATACCTTCTTAACTCTGTGAGGATTCTTCATGCGTCTACATTTCCTGATGTCCATCTCTGTGGTGTTAACACATCCAGGCTGCAGAAAAAACACCCCAAGGAAAACAATGTCATTGCATCAGCACTATTTGAGAATGCGGATTAGGTGGGTGGCTATAATCTCACATAGACAGGAAGTGTGTATGTGAGACTTACCACAGGTCTGTGGACATCCCAGAAAGCTCTCTCTTGGCTGTCCAGGATCTTCCTTTCAATTTTATCCTTTTTCCTGTCAATCCTGCAGAATAGAGCAGTGTTTTTTAACAATAATGAGGCTCAGAACAGACTCAGTCTACAGTGTACTCTGTAGCTTCATACACACAGTCTGCATCCACATACTGTGTAACTCCGTGCTTTTCCAGGTACTTGAATACTTCCAGTTTTTTGATACCTACATTTCATTTTTTCAAAAGGAAATTAATTTAAAAATTAAGAATATTCATCGTAAGTTAAAAAAGCATTTAAAATTGTCTAACGGGCATCAAGAATAATAAGTTGTTGATCTTCATAATGTTTTAATAAGTTATGACTTTAACTTTTAACTTAATAATTTTAAGGAATTGCTACTTTGCATACTAGTATCTAAAGTCTTTGACCCCTGGCACAGTGCATTATGTTTGTTTATGTGCTAGACTTCCACATTGTTACTTATTTAGAAGAAGAAGAATTAGAAAACATTTTAATACTAGTTTCGTGAATCATGATCAGATTAGAAATGCTGGTCATATATACCTGGAACCAAAATATGGAAGCAAATGTAATAATAGCAGTTCTCTTTATTTCACAAAGATCTTGGCAACATTTTGGAAATTACAGCTTTCCCTTTAACATCCCTCAGACTGATGTAACTGTGGATTCATAATCAAAAGAAGGCTGGCAAAGGATGGTGGAAAACAGAGCAGTGTGTACAGTCTCCACTCTTCTTCCATTTTCCATGTTTTCCAAGTAAGTATTGCCTATGTTTGTTGGTTTAAAGAGCATCTGATGTGAAACACACCTGTAGACACATCAATCCTAATCTCACAGTGGTAATCTTACACAAAACCACACGTACAAATGCTCACTTCTTGTGATTGCTTGTCTTTTACCTTGAGTGTGAATGACATCAGTGCAAGCACAGCAGTTTCATGTGTTGCCTTGGTAACAGATCACACTTACTTGACCTGGGCCTCAGCCTGCATGTAGATAAACTCCCACTTCCTGGCAAAAGCTCTCTGCAGCCTGGCCAGGTTCTCCTGTTAGAAATGAGATAGAAACATTATCAAAAGTCAACAAGGAAAAACAATAGTTGGAAAAAAAAAATACTGTTAAATACATTTGACAGTTTTAAAGTTTGAGTCTGCTCCAAGAAGTAATTTAGATTTCATGCCATCACAGACACACGCCTGTCTGACCTTTAAGAGGCTGTATTATTTTGGTCCCAGAGCTTGACGCACAGATCAATACTTGGACTAATAGCTTAGAGCAACAGTTCAACACTCACAGCCTCATAATCTGCCAGCTCCAGCCTCGTCTTGTTCTGCATGGTCCGCTTGCACAGGTAAATAGCTGAAGGAGAAAGAGAGAGAAAGAATTAATCACAGAGACATCCCTGTTCCTGTGCTCATCTCTCACTCTCTGTGCAACCCACCTCACCTCACCACCCATTTTACATGGACTACAATCCCTCTCAAGCTGCCTGCCCACCATTGGGATTATGAGGCAGTTTTAAGAGTCCCTGAACTCCCAAACCAAAAACCCCAGTCGTGGCTGTGTCTGAAAGGATGAAGGGCAGGAAATGGAACAGTGATTGACTAATCATGTCAGCTGTTCGCCTCCTCAACTAAAAGTACAGTGCTTACTGGGCTTCAGTGCTTTGCTCAGTGGGAGTTTGTTGAGCTTTACTTATAAATTGCAGGCTTATGTCTTCTCATCTGTTTACAGTTGCTTCATCTTTCTTCAGATCAGAAAAATCAGAAAAACATCTACATAGTCAAGACTTGAAATGAAACATTGTATTGAAAAGAATAGCATGGTTATATCACCTCAATAAAAATAAATAAATAAAGGTTAAAACTCTGTGTCTTGGTGAGACATTATGACATGAAAATATGTAGTTTTCATCAATTAATAAGAATATTATGACACATTGAAGTTAATGCATAAAGTTGATTCTCAGCGTTTTCTGTGGAAGAAACGATTTGTCACTCATCCATGTGACTTGGTCAGGCTCAGCTGACTGCAGGTATCCCCAATTAGTTACTTATTAATACTTCCCTACAGTGGAATAGTTAATTGGTGTCTGCTTGTCATAATCACTTTTTAAGCTACACAGTCTAGCTTTTGCTGCATAAAGCTTGTTCAGAGTTGAGCTGACAGACAAGAATTGAAAAGTTAGATAAATTATCCAGTTATAATCTTTCTGCTGCTAATAAAAAGGCAGTCAGAAAACATGCTTTTCCAACGGTTTTGCCACAAGATCAGATGTAGATTGATAAGATCCATATCTTATCCCTCAGCTATTATTGATGGTTATTCATACCCTGCTGATGTTGGAGGTGTAGTTTGCACTTTACATAATACCTCAGATGCAGCTGTTGTAAATTAGATTAGAGACTGGGACCACAGAAAGCATTAGTTCCACCTTAAATTCAGCATAACATTATAGCAGGTTTCGTTCCATGGTGTGATGCTATATTACTGTTTCCAGCCCATGTATTCTATTTCTAATCCATTTAATTAATCTTATGACTAAAGCATTGATCTTTAAAACTTAAAGGACAATCAAAAACCACCAAATGTCAAGATATTCCTTGAAGTTTCTCACCATAGTCTGTGTTCTCAGGCTCCCAGCAGTTGGACGGCCAGAAATATGGCGCCTGAGGGCAAAACAAAGTAGAAATGTGAAAATCAAAAGTCAAGTCAAGTCATCTTTATTTATATAGCACATTTAAAAGACATCAAGTGTCGGCCAAAGTGCTGAACAGAGGGATAATATAATAAAAGAATTAAAATAGAAAGAAAACATTAAAAAAAAAAAAAAAGAATTGTATGTAATATCAAAGAGATCCGAAAGCCTTGGAAAATAAGTAGGTCTTGAGATTCGATTTAAAGACTTCCAAGGATGAAGAGAATTTTATGAAGGGGGGGAGACTATTCCAGAGTCTCGGGGCGGCAATGGAGAAAGCCCTGTCACCTCTAGATTTGAGCTGGGAGCGTGGAACTGATAAAACCATCTGACTGGAGGAGCGCAGAGATCGAGTGGGTAAGTGCAGGCTAAGAAGATCTGAAATATAACCTGGAGCCAAACCATGGAGGGCTTTAAAAACAAATAATAAAACCTTAAAATCAATTCTATGTTTAACAAAAGTGATGCTGAATTGCTGCTGATTGTTCCCTGAACCTCCCAGGTCACGATTTATGAGTCAAAACTATTTGAGTGACGATGATGACCTTTACAAGATAGCTGTTTGCCTCTGAGACACAGTGGAGCACATGATTGTCTTGCTTCACCAATCAAAATATTTTTTATTTTTAGGGCAGGAGAGATTCAGAACAGCCAACTTCTAAAACTTTTCACACCTCTGCAACACCCCAGGGGGCTATTACTCATGGAAAAGTATTGCAGAAAAACAATACAAGAATGACAGCTGGGAAGTAAACAGTCAGAAAACAGAACAATAAGCCGACAGGCAAAGAACAGACAGGACAGGTTCTGTATTTGACAAAAAACTACGTAAAACTGTTAAACGAGTCCAAACCATCTGTAGTATTTTCATTGAGAAGAGATATTACATAATTGTGATTTTTCTGCCCTGTGTTTCTCTTTATCTTGCACTTGATTTGCCTCCAAAAGGAAATGCTAATGAGTGGTGATTATCTTTATGAAGCTCTTTCGGCTACAGCAAATAGACCTCCTCCTCCTCCCCTCTTTTATTCCACTTCACTTTGAAGGAGGAGAACCAAGGTCAAATAACCTAATGTGCACTGTTGGTTTAATTAAACTGCTCTTCTGGCTTCACTGGAGATTCAATCCTGTAACTGCAGTATGTATAGGAAGAAGATGCTACATAGAAATCATTCTAATCGCACCACATGCTGCTTTTGCATTCACAAATGAGGAATTTGAAAACATGGTTTCCTTTCTTTAATTAGAGAATTCAGTCTGGCATAATTAATATGCAAGCTTAATGCCACTGCCTTATCTGTGAACAGTGAAGGAGGCACAAAATGTCAGCCTTACTTTTTTTTTTTTGTTCTTTGATATGAATCTCTAATTGTAGTGTGGGCTGCTACACTACATGTCCCTGTAAAGATTCTGGTAGCTGCCTATTTGGCCCGGACCCAGACCTGCTTCCTCTGAGCTCTTGATGAATATTTTAACAGCTCACCATCCATTTTTAATAGGGTCACAGGATCCCAACATAGTACTGAAGAAACTGTAGTGGACAGGGCCCCAGTGCTTCTATAACGAAGCAGGTAATCGTCAGTGGCTGATTGGGATATTGTAGGCGACCCCACAGCTAGATTAAACTTGCTGGAGGTTTTTTATTATCTCTTACAATTACACAGAATGAAGAAGGCATTAGTGTGAGAGTCATGTCTGGCACAAAAGGGAACATAAAAGGAAACATTAAAGAAAAACTATTTTCATCTATTGACAATAAAGAGCCAGTACTCGAAACTTACTATATCTATATTTCAAAAGCTATCTCAATGTGCTGAGTCAACCACAATTTTTCCACAATGTTAAGAATAGCTATCGAAAGTAACATCCATCCGTATGGAAGAAATATAGTATCATCAGAATTTAACTATTTTTAGACATTGAATTTATAACACTGAATTTTTATCCTCCTCCGTTGCTCACGTATAAAGTACACAGATGGGGTCTTTGCTCAACTCGCCTGAGGCGTGTCTTACTAAGCACTACATGCTAGCATCCTGCTAACCGAGCTACCCTTTACATGCTGTGCTTTAGAAAAAAAAAAAATACTCTGCAGATATTGATAGATAGACGAACACTGCAAATATAATGTTGGAAACGAGAACGGCCTTTGGTGAAGGGGTAAAATACACCATGAATAAAGCCATAGAGTGAATGGCTGCCATGGTTGCAGAACGGCCTGATTTAATGACAAGAATGGGGAAGAGTGAGGTGAAGTGAACCAAAGCCACAAAACACGGTCAGACAAGGCGGGAAAAGGGCAGTGACCTATCCGTCAGTATGAAGTTAGTGTGTGCTTTGGTGAACAAAAACTCGAGACCGGTAGCAGGAAGATGGGAGACTCGTGTTTCACTGGAATAGTGGTGAATTAAAACATCCTTTGTTGGGGAAATTTAGGTGTAAATGCATCCATACAGGTGAGACAGAGGCAGACCAGACAGTGAAGAAAACAAGGCAAACATTAGAAATATTAAAACGGAAATATAGGATTAATATAACATACAATTAGGGAAAATGTAAGGAAGTGTGTGGCTAACGGTGTCATGTGATCAAACAGCGTAGTTTAATTGGCTGAGAGCCGCTCGACTCAATCTAGTGCTGATTGCTCTGGCTTGGGTCATTCAAGTTCATCACTTTTGCAGTTGAATTTTTGCAGGTGAATATTTTTGCAGGGAAATTTGGAGGATAAAAATTCAGTTTTATAAATTCAATGTCTAAAAATAGTTGAATTCTGATGATACTATATTTCTTCCATACATCCATCCATTTTCTTCCGCTTATCTAGGACTGGTTCGTGGGGGCAGTAGCCCAAGCAGAGAAGCCCAGACCTCCCTCTCCCCAGCCACCTCCTCCAGCTTGTCCGGGGGAACACCAAGGCGTTCCCAGGCCAGGCAAGAGATATAATCAATCCAATGTGTCCTGGGTTTGCCCCAGGTCCTCCTCCGCGAGTCGCTACCTTATTGTGGTGTACGGGTTTGCGTGACCCAGGGATCCCAGGGGCTAAGTAGGGCTGTGCGATATGACCAAAATCTTATATCCCGATATAAAACATCTATTGTCCGATAACGATACAGTTATCTGACGATAGATGTTTCACAAAAATTTAACATTTTCTGTAAATTCTGTGAATCTCGGGTAGCTGAAGTGTTTCCAGCTGGGCGTCGTGTATCTGGAGTCGAGTGTTTTACCGATGCATGAAACTACACATTTTTAGACATAGCTTGTAACAGCCGCCGTTTTCTTTGCGGCATGCTGTGGGGAAAAGCCTGTTCTAACGTTTGAGTCTAAGGTTTATTTTTTAGCACCTGACGGCTCTTTTTTACTTTCTTTTTTGCCAGCTTGATAGAAACTCCGTCATGCTAGCTAGGACCCAGTACGAAAAAGTCAGCATAACTAAAATAAACTCCACCTAAACTTGGTTTATATCTGACCCAGATAGACTGCAGGTATCTGTAAAATTTCTAAGCTATTTCTTCAAACTGTAATCTGGTTTTAATCACATCACACATCACATTCAGAGTTTCAGGTAATCATTAGCTATCCAGTTTCATATATTGGTTCAATCCCTTACTTACTCACTTGAATTTTTCACCCGTCTATACAGAAAATAATTTTACGATATTTATCAAATCAAGACACTAACCTAGAATTAACCGTGAAGTATCTAATTGCTGATTGTTACAGTTCTCATTAAGCTTCACATCAGGTATAAATCTTGAGTTTGCTAATAATTAAATGTGGCCATATCTCCTATAGCCTTCTCTGTGTTTTTAACCACTTGGTGTGTCCGCTCACCTGGAAGCGGTAGAAAGTTCCATCGTCTTTCAGGGTGAGGACATGGTCTGAGATTGGGAAAAAGTACCCCTGAGCTGCAATTAAACTCCCAATGTGCATCGCCTCAGCTGTAAAAGGAGCAGAATAAAGAGATAAATAGATTACAGTAGATTCCTCAGCATTTACATTGCAGTATGGATAGAATTAAGTTGGTTGAAACAACATCTAGACAATGAGATCAAATATGACAGTCATGGAACTGATATTTTGTAACATTACATTAATACAAAACTATGAATCACCTGCCAAATATACCATCCCTGGAATATTTTTTGAAGTGGAGCATTTTAAGAAATGCAAATATATCAACACAGCTTGTTGAACCTTCTTTGTTTTGTTTGTTTGTTTGTTTGTTTAAAGTGGCTTTCTGCTAGGACTATGGGAATCAGAGGTGGTTGGGATGTACATGGATGACTCAGTGACTGATTCACTGTCCAGGCCGTGGGCTATTGTACCAACAATAAACACTGCTCTCCCACCACCAGGCTTTAGGTCAGGCCAACGAAACAACAAATATAATACAAACTCTGTTTGTTAAAAAAACAACCTAGTTGCCTCTTTTTCTGTTTGGTATGTTTTCTCTATAGTATTAACTTGTAAATGATTTCTACAGATAATTGCCAAGTTTTTGTAGTTAGGTCTTCTGAACAACAATGCACCTGCTCACTATAAACATCTCTTCATTGTAAGCATTTATTGCAGGCAATTGTTCAAAAACCTATCATAAAGATAGACACACCCCTGTATTTCTTATTATATAGTGTGCATGCTTTTTATAAATAAATCCTGCTGTTCTGCTATCAGGGGAGGTTGTGGCATTTAGAATTCATTCAGCAGAGTACACATACCTGGATCATCAATGGACAGATTCTTCATCAGCCACTGTACAATATCTGCACCTGTATCAGTTCAGATGAGGATAGATAAATGGCTGCAATAAATGGTGTGTTTACAATAATGTACTGAAAGATATAGATTTGGGATTAAACATACAGCAGCCTGGGGGGGGATAGAAGGACACAAAAAACAAAACAAGGGTCAGTTTAGTAGTTACCCCTTGCTAGTAACTGGTTGGAGTAGCTTTCACCTTCAGAACCGCCTTGATTTTTAGTGCCATAGATGTAACAAGGTGTGGGAAACATTCCTCAGAGATCGTGGCCCAATAAAGACATGATAACATTTTGCAATTGCTGCAGATTTGTCAGCTACACATCCAGATCTTTTAGATAGAGAATTGGCAATGTAGGCAATTTAAGTAAAATGTAATGTTAACCATGACCAAGAAACCAGTTTGAGAGATTTGAGCTTTGTACTATGGTATATTATCCAACTGAAAGAACATGGGTACTGTGTGGAAATACAGGGATGGATGTTGACAGCAACAATACAATGCTCGCTTAGTAGTAATGGAAAAATAAAAAATATCAGATCAGGCAACATTTCTTTCATCTTCTGTTGTCAAACCCTGCATCAATTGTAGCCTCAATTTCCTGTTTTTAGCTGGCAGTAGTGCCATCCAGTATTTGAGTGGGGAAATCCCAGTAAATCAGTTTCCAAAATACTCAGAGCAGCCCATCTGACACTAACCACCATGTTCAAGGCCACTTAAATAATCTTTCTTCCCTATTTGGATGCTCCGTTTGAACCTCCAACCTACATGCCTAAATGCACTGAACAGGTGTAACTAACAAAGTGGCCAATGAGTGTAAATATACAAAAGTGCCCCAATTTACACTTCCAAAACAAAACCTAAAGGTAATAGAATGATGATAATAAAATGCATAAGACATAATGCATAATCAAAGGCTTTCTGCATGCTAAAAACTAGGTTAGCTTATCAGTATTTTTCCCTCTAACAGAAAACGAAATCTCAAATGTTTCAACTATTTCACCCAAAACAGTGGTATTCGTTTGAATATAAATATAAAAGATTTTAAATGTGATCCCATACCTCAAAAGATCAACATTTAGAGACTATAAAACTCTATTAGAGTGGAATTAGAATATCTTCTACTTTCCTTAGTGAGGTGATGTTTAATTTCTTCATCAGTTATTAGTTTCTTAGCCTTCAGCACTCAGCTGCAAACATTTGAGAGATACTGTTCTGCATATCCATCAGCCGCTGGGGTAATTATGTTTATTGATACGCTCTGCTTATTGCATATTGTGTATGCATCTTCCATTAATGCAAAGACTGGGGTAGTGGTGGTGGTGGTGGGGGTGGGGGGTGTTAATAGTCTATGTTTTTGTTTTCATCATTTGTTTCATTCGTTTGCTGCGAAAGCCTCCCACTGCAGGACCAGCCTGTTGGAATGATTTATGCTGTCAGTGAAAGTGATTACAGCCAGCTGGCAAGGGGGCTAACATTCATCCCTACCCATCAGGTTCAACTAACAAATAATGTTTTCTTTTGTTGTTTTTACTTCATTTAAATTCAAAGTTTATTCTGAAGTTCTACAGGAGAAGTCAGGGGTTGACTGCTTCACTTAAGGGCACCTTGATAGTAGTACAGCATTAGTCATTCTGTTTATGCACTTACACACTTTTTCAAACGTTTAATCATATGCTGTCTTCCCACTTTTACCTCCAGCTATTCAGCTTTTCTGTGCCTCAACAGACTGAAATGCAGCCACCAAGCAGATGATTATTTGAATACAAATGTGTGACCAAGCTGGAGAGCTAGGATGTACTGTATAGTGTTTCACAAAATACCTTGCAAGATGGATTTTTTGGATGCCTACCCTTGTGTTGTGAAATAAACTAATGCTCTGTCTAGATGACAGGTAGGAAATTGATATCCTGCTCATACCTATCTGTATAGTGTATCATAAGTCTGCAATTAACAGACAGTTCACCTTTTTATAAAGTCTACCCAGATCATTGATATTTCTATATTTCCTTTTTTCAGGAATAATTCTTCACATACAACCTTAAAAAGAAGCTGAATAAGTATAGATCTCAAAATATCAAATTAAAGTACGTTGATTAAATTATCCTGGAATGACTGATTGAACTGTCATTTTTCAGCCTCACTAAAACAAGAGGCCCAACAGACATCAGCATTTTCCATCGTCTCATTTTGTTCTCTGGGCACTTAATGTCCATCAGTGATGCACTTCTATAGTTAATGTTTGTACAGTGCAGGTTAGGTCACTTTTTTCTTGACATCTGTCTCTTTTGATTTCTTACCCGTAACGACACTGGGGATTTTCGTCATGAAACTTTTGACAGTTCTGATGGGTACACCGTCCGTCTCGTCCTGGATGCGAGTGATAATGTCTTCAATCTGTAGAATAAGGCAGAAGACAGAATTTAAAGGTTTGAACAAACGGAAACTTTTATCCATTTGAGACAAGTATTAGTTAAATGTACTTTATTTAGATTTCTCTGCAGATATTTAAACAGTTAATCTTTAAGTTGAAGTGCTGCATTACTTCAAACCAAGACAATGGCAAGCGCTATGATTCATATTTAACACAAAGAAAATGCAGGATCAGCTCACTTCTCTTCAATTTATCAAGACAAGACTATCGTTAGCTGCAAAGATGCTGCTACAATTTCTACTGTAGAATAAAATATGGCTTGCAAGAAAGAAAAATGATACCATTCATTATATGGTCTAACAAACCAGTTAATTACATTGACTTTAAAATTCAACTGTTTATAAATGCTTCATGGAAATTGATACCAGTGGAAAAAACACAGGTAGTTCATGAAAAACAAAAGCTCTTCTCCTTTTTCACTTTTTATAGGTTTAACTATACACTTCACCTCTCGCTGTAATGTTGTGTCAACCACAAGACTGAGTCACATGATAACTGAGTCTAATCTAAGCAGGAGTTGAGGTTCAGCAGGACAGCACATATCTGTGGCCCTTAATTACAATTGCACAGATGTTAAACGAAACACGTCACCCACTTTGCACTTAAGTAATCAGATTAGTATTTGATTATCTGGTTTTGATTGCAAGGTTGACACCCCCTCTCTCTTCACAGATGCTTTTTTTGTTTGCGTCAGGGAGTGGGAAGTGAGAAGCTGGTCGCTTTGGAGACAGCTATCGCACACTAACGCACAACCCGGCGGCTATATATAAACCTTGAATGGAACCCAGAGCAACGGCAGAGAGGCAGAGATAACCACATATGCTTTTTACATTTAGACAATTAAAGTGATCACAGAAAAGAAGTGCATTTCACCAGTTTTGTGAAAAACACATTGTACTTCCTACCTGTAGTGCCCATAGTTTATTTTACTGCAAATATGTCCTCAGTTTGTGCAATTTTGCGACCCTTATGAGTATATTTATAATGTGCAGCTGTCAGTGGAGTATAGTTCTAGGAGCCACCCACGCTGGGTTAAAGCTGATGACTTCCACAACAGACTCAATGTACAGTCTGTTTAAGACTGAACATACTATTCATCCACACAGCTTTTCAATATTTCTTTTTTTTTTAAAACATTGCACAATATCCAAAATAATTTAACAACATTGCTTTGCTGGTGTGCTTTTTTTTACTTGTATGAATAGCAGAATCCCGTGGATGCATAAAATCACCTCTTCAATGGCCCCCGTCTTTAGAAGCATTAAAATTTTGCTAAAAACAAGCAAGCATACAAACGCAGGGTGAGAGAGGTTAAAGCTGGCTTTAAATCTGCAAGAGAAGAGAAATTCATCCCTTTCATAAGAACAAAAGGAGCAAAAGCAACATATTGGCTTTGCTCTGTGTCTCTTTGAATAACTCAGCTGGGTAAAAGTGCTGTTTTCGCCACACAATTTTCCACTGCATGACTACCAGCAGTTTTTAAAAATATCACAGCTGGTTTTGGTTTGTTTTTATTGACAATGTGATTGCTATACAAATAAAATGCTGTACTCTTCTAGAGTCCACCACCTATTAACTGGATAAACACAGGCAGATAGAAAATTGGTGACTGAGGACTAAAAACAAGCTATAGTTTATGCTATATGAAAGGCATTTAAGCTGCTTACACCTGAAAGTAATTAGGCAAATTTACCACTATCTCCTATCATAAACCTCCTGTCCTGTTGCAAGTACACAGGTGGCGTGAAAACGCAGTATTTGTGTCGTCACTTTCCAGCACAGATGCTTCCAACCAGTCTGGAAATTCAAACTGACAAGCTTCCTGCTTTTACGCCTCTGGCCATCAGACTGCTGTCACCCTGTTCCTCTCTATAGATCCTGGCTGTCTGCCAAAAGCAAAGACATAGAGAGCTCCGGGCTACACTTCAAAATCAATACAACTAATATGATTGTAATAAGATGTTGATAGTGTGGAGGTAGCTGCTCAAATGACTTTAATGGCTTCCACTATCATGAACAATCTACTCCTGCTCCATTAATGAAAATAGGCATTCACAACACGTTTACTTCATGCTACAACAGCTGTCACCCACTGAATCTAAAATTGCCCAACACTACTTTGTATATCTGTGACAATGAAACACGAAAATGGTATTTTTGAAACAAAAAGGAGGAACATTAAAAAACAAATTTCTGTGTATTTTATAATATTTATCATTACACATGACCAAGTTGAGTCGCTGTTGCTGTATGTGGTCTGACTTACTGCCTGTAGCGTTTGGTTTGCAGTTTTTGGTTATGGAGTTAGACTCCATTAGTGTGTGTGAAGCTGAGTGTGAAGTACGGGGGATGAGAATTAGCTCCCCCAAATCGGAGGCCATGACTCTGAGCTGGAAAATGGAAATGGCTGAGGAAAGGTTGCTGCCCAAAACATAGGAATTTAAGTACAGGTGTGGAAAAGAAAGTTTTGGAAGCAGCCAGATGCTGCAAATTAAAAACGCACTTGAATAACTGGTCATCAAAATCCCCCCAATATACTCTTGGTCCACTCCGCAGATTAAAAAACTGGAGATTTGATACAGATTCAAATACGATCCTTAGATCAATAAGACTTCCTCATCACACAAGTATGGACTCAAATATCTAATGGACTCAAGCAAACAATTACTTATTCTTATTCTCTATTTCTGTCCCTGTGAATCATTTGTTTTCAGCTGTCTCTTAGCTAAAAATATTATGACTACTGAAGAAGAAACTTTCTGCACTGAGAGGAACGTCCACAGGTTAGTCATAGCACTTTGCAATATGACATTAAGCCAGGTTTAATGTCGTGTTTTCTTGCAAACCCTGTACTGGAACCCTGATGCAATGCCATAGCGATCTTTTACCCCCTTAACTGAAGACTTCCTTTTAAAGCACAATCCTGGTGCCCTAACATAACATTTTAAGACTAGATTAGTTCAAGATGACTGTTCTGTTTAGATTACTGGTTGATTAGATTGTAGTTATAATTACTGTATGTATTGTGTCAGTGTAGATCCTCACAAGTCCATACAAACATATGTGCATGTGTATATAGTTTTGGGGTTGTGTGCTGTATAAATGCGTCTGCTTGTTTGTGTCTTGGCTTGTAGTGCAGCCCAGCGGGAACAGATTTCATCAGACTTATTGCAAGCCGGTCTATTTAACACGCCTGATTACGGTGTTATCACCACACACTTAGCATGGACCAGCTAGCAGGCTGGCAGGCATCTTAGCAGACAGGTTGGTTACAGGGAGAAAAGGGCTGTGCTACTGACTGTGGTTTAATGATCTCTTTGGGCAAAAAATGACAAAGAAAAAAGAATGGCTATCCATTTGTACTTACCAGAAATGCCATCGTCATGGTCCCTCACTAAGCTATTAATTGTCTGATTGGGTATCGTACTTACTTGACTGTTACGCTAGATCAGGGGTGTCAAACTCAATTGCACAGGGGGCTAAAACTCAAGGCACACTTTAGGTCGCGGGCCAAACAAGATAAAGATTTATTGAACACACTAAAACAATGTTTTTTTAAACATAAATATGAATAAAAACAGACAGGAATATTATTCCAGATTAAATAAACTAAAAAAAAACAACTTTAACTTTAAATATTTTGCTCCTCAAAAAATATATATCCTTCAAAATTATGCAAGTTAGAAATATGAATATGCTGCCAAAAACCCCAGAAAAAATTAATGAAAGCATACACAAGGTTGGAGCCGCATGTAGACGGAGCTGGGCGTTGCTTCAGGAATGGAACTAATAAACTGTGTGGGCCATTCAGTGTCCCATTACACTGCAGCTCCATCTGAATCTGCACAGGTGCAGTTCAGCAAAGTCCGCTGACTTGGTTCAAGTGAGGCAGGTTGCACTGGTGCATTTGTGACAGCTTCACTTGAAATGCCTTCACCGCATCATACATCATGTCCATGAACTGAAAGATTTCCTTGCTGAGCTCAAAAACTCTATTGAGAACTGTTCCCCAACTCAGCCAACGGACCTCTGTATGATGAGGAATGTCGGCAAACTCTGAATCTATTTCCCACATAAAAGACAGAAATTGACAGTGTAGCTCAGATAAAATTTACGGTTTGCGTTACGGTGATCATTACATGCTCCATTTTTAGGACTTTACCACACAGCCTTTCCTGGTATATGATGCAGTGATATGCTGTTAACTCACAGTTACAGTTCTCCTCCTGCATCTTTACTCGCATCCTGCTGACTAGTCCGCTTTTTTCACCGCACAACACCGGCGCTCTAATCTGTTGTAAGTCCAACAAGTTTGTCCCAGGGCAGTTTCATGTCGGTTACACTTTGACATACGTTTAAAAAATGTCTTTTCCTGTCGTTGTCCCGTGCATCGATTTAATGTTCAATATTTCCTCTCCACGGAT